TCTGGAACGCATTCAGCAGTCGGGACTTCGTATAAATGGACCAAAGTCCCAGATCGGAAAGGCCTGTGTCACCTTACTGGGCCATAAAGTGGGACAAGGCGAACTGAAACCGCTACCTGAGAAGATAATGACGATACAAGGCAGCCCAGTTCCCACCTCGAAACGCACTCTCCGTACATTCCTGGGCCGCGCCGGGTACTACAAATTCGTCAAGGATTTTAACATCTTGGCCTCACCCTTGTACGAGCTGTTGAAACAAGACAGGAAATTCACTTGGAATGCAGAAGCTCAACGAGCCTTTGAACAGATTCTACAGGAAATGGGAAGGCAGGAGTTGACCCTGAAATTGCCCATTGTTGGTGAGGTGTTCACGGTAGCCACTGACGCCAGCGATGTCGGGATCGGTGCGGTGTTGAAACAAAACCATGGGACGATTGAGTACGCCTGCGGAACGCAGATTCTCAACCACAGAGAAAGAATGTCTCGCAATTGTCTGGGCGTTAGATAAATGGCGGCCATATCTCCTGGGTCAGCGATTTCACGTCGAAACAGACCACAGACCGTTGGAGTGGATTAAGTCTGCCAAAGACCCCAGAGGAAAGCTGGCGAGATGGGCATTGCGCCTACAAGAGTATGACTTCACGATAAAACACGTGCCGGGGAGGGAAAATCAGACGGCGGATTTCTTATCACGCATGATAGATGATGATGACCTGCCTAGCGTAGCTTTCGGTATTAACGGTATACTGTGCGAGCAGGATCCAGAACGGTTGGCAACTGAGCAACGTAGCGACGAACTCCTGCGCAAGTTGATCACCGCGCGATTAGCTGGTCAGACAAACTTCAACAAAAACCAACTCAAGCAGCTGGGACCGTTTGCAAAAGACCTGGGAAAGCTGCAAGTGAACGAAGCAGGGATCTTGATGGGGATACCAGGAGGTAGCTACCCTTCGGTGCCAGTCATTCCAATGAAACGGAGACGGAATCTAGTAGTTTCTTGTCACGAGATGGCACACACAGGTTGTTCCAGGACCTACGATTTGCTGAAACAACGCGCGTATTGGCCGGGGATGAAAATGGACGTTGAGAAGTGCGTACTTTCGTGCAGACAATGTCAGCTCATGAAAACGGATTGCCGAGGAATGCAGCAGCAAACGACGACGATCCCGGTCTCGGAAATTGATGAACTTTGGTCGATCAACGTGATGGGACCGTTTCCATTGACCAGGCGTGGCAACCAGTACATTTTATTGATGACGGAGCACTTCACGCGATGGATTGAGGCGACAGGAATCCCGGATCAACGGGCTAGCACCGTTACCCATGCTGTCATGAATCACTTGGTAGCGGCTCACGGAATCCCAAAGGCCATAGTAACAGACCAAGGGCCGTGCTTCGAGAGTGAAGAATTCCGGAACTGTTTAGAGAAACTTGGCATCAAGAAATTGCGCACCACCCCATACCACCCGCAAACAAATGGCCTGACGGAACGTAACAATAGAACAATCAAGGAGTGGCTAGCAGCAAAAGGTGGAGACTGTGAGGAAGCGCTGCCGCTACTGTTGCTGGCCCATCGAGCAACCAAACAGGCTTCCACAAAGAAATCACCATTCCATTTGATGTACAGTCGACAACCTCGTCTACCTGTGGACCTAGAGATTGGAATGTGGCCAATTTGCCGTATATCTCCCGAGGAGACACGGAATAACCGGAGGTCCGCCAACCGCAACCTACAGGCGACTCAGGCGCGGATGATGGCGAAGTTCCAGACCAGCAAAGGTGGAAGGAATATCGAGTTTCAGATTGGTTCGAAAGTGAAGTACAGGGACCATCAACGCTATCCCACTTGTGGCCCAGGGGAGAGGAAACTCCTAGCGAAGTGGAAAGGACCGTACGAGGTAGTCGACCGGCGAGGCCCAGTGTATACAATCGCTCGGCAAGGTGAATCGCGGAGGGTGAATGCCAGCGAGCTGAGGAAATGGTACGAATTGGAGGAGGAAACACGCTCGTACAGTGAACATCCCCGGCGGTCAGAAAGACTCCGACGGAAGGCAGCTGACGCGAATCCTTTGGAGGGGGAGGAGTGTGGTGGATTAAAGGTAGATACTACTTCGCCGGGTATAAGTAGTGTGGCGCAAGACGACACACCAACAGCAAGCCCTGCCGAGTTCCCCAAAGTTGTAGATGACATCAGGATTACCGTTCCATGTGCACGAGGAGTGAACACAGAGGCAAGCACCAGTTGGGGGACACTCCATGGAACTCACGCAAATGAGCGGACGCCTCCGAAGTATGGACGAACACACCTAGTGTAATCCACTTTAGCAATAAACAAGTTACCGCCTGCCCCTTTGGTTCTAACATACCTGTGAATGGTCAGTGCGAGGTGGGCTACACGCAAATGCTTCCAATAGCCCATTATGAATTATGTGATACGGGCCACAAGAGTAATAATAAACTGTTACTTGGAGTGAATGGACGAACTCTACCAGGCGCGACTTGGGAAGAGAAGCCCATTTTAAATCAGAGGTAAACACAACAATTTTACGTGAAGTGCACGGCGATGGTGAGCACAGAAAAGAAGTACTTGGGGATGTGCGATAGAGTCTTGTCCAGTGTCAGTCAACATATATGTCCGACTAACTCATGTATGTGGACGGGAGCTCCGAGTCACAGATTAACCCAACGGTCTTCAAAGATTCTGAAGTGATGTGGAGCTACACTTCTGGTGACAGGATAGGAGGCCGGTTCGGTGGACATCTGAGAAATACAACCTTTCCCTGTTTGTGCCTACGATACAACATCGAGAGGGGACTAACCTCTGCCATGGACTGGTACACTGACGCGTACTTGGCAACCTTGTAATGAAAGTTAAAGATAATGGAGCACCACACATCTTTTGTTCCCAGAGACACACGGTAACCAAGTGGAACACCACAGGGACCACAATAAAGAAGAAAATGAGTGAATCAGATTCGTGTTATCTGGTTCTGATGAGGAATACAAGGCGTACAAGGTACAACGAAATCTCTGCAACAAAGCGAAAACAAAAAAGCGCAGACGCTTTGAAGAGCAGCTTGCAACCGCCTATGTGAAGCGGCGCATGAGGCCTGCAGGCAATGTGCCGGTGTTGGAGGGCTCAGATCGATCGAAGGATGCACCTGATAGTCCAGAGCTAACTCAAGCGATATGTCGACACATGCGATGGACGGACATACGAGAAATACCGTCTTGAAGACTGCAAGTCAATCCTAGTTTTTCTTTCTTCTCTCATCCTACCCCGCATGCGCGATCTTACGAAGGGAGATGTCAGATTTTAATTGCCAAGGAAAACTCGTTATTTCAATAAGAAAGCGGTGTGAATCGATTACGTGCAACTGAAACATCTAGATGTTTCAGGAATGTTGGTGTCAGGAACTTTCACATCTACACGACTCACGTACCTTTCTACCCACTGGTTATCGGAACTGAACTATCAATCTGGACAGCTGACAGCTATTCCGTAACGCGTACCTTCCAAGGTTTTCCATTGAATATCCATTTGTTTCTACACTGCTTTTTTCTTTTTTGGTAGCTGGTTGTACAACACGCTTTTACCCGCAAGCGTTGACTTCTGATTGCCGGCTGGGATTCTGAGTTAGCAGAGAACGAGTTCAGTTCAGCCGAAATCACAGACACAGGTAGATTATAGCACTCTTAGTACCAACTTGTAGGTGGGACCTCATCGTTTGCATTGTCGAGCGACAGGTGAAACGAAGCTAGGATAGGATGAAGCGAAGAGCAACCGTTGAGTTTCAAAACTCTTAAGGATAGGGACTGTCAAGTTCTCATGGCTGCGCGAAAGGTCAACTATTCCAGAAATGGAGAGAATCTAAGGCATCCATAAAATTTTGAGGCTCTTTCAATCCGTATGTAACCAAACTAACGGTTATCACCGAAACCTAGATCAACTCATTTTAAATAATCGCTTCTTTCCGGCCACTTGCCTGAGCTCATTGACTGGCGTCCATCCTTTATTCTCAGATGTTTGGACCACTTCTTGCTTAGCTGTAATAAAGACGCGCTTGGTTCACACCCCAAACTCATCTTGGTCTTTTCATTCGGTGCTTGCGCTGATCGGTTATTTATCTGAATCCTCTGTCTGTTTTGCCCGCTCGGCCTATCAGCTGTCATCATGCGATAGGCACTGAGCTCCAAACCCGTGTCACCTGCGAGCAACTCGCTTGCCTTTGACCGGGACAAAGGCCGTGCCTGGCTCACTAACTGCGCCTCTATTTCGCTTTGTTCCCTCGACGGGGTAAACGTGGTCGTTTTGCGGTCATTATGCTGATCGACTTTCCCGACCACTGGCCATCTACCATGTCAGGGCTATTGGAATAATTCTTCGTAAACAACTTCTTTGTTAATACTTAGGTGTCTGTATTTTTGTACATGCACAGCCATCGACCGTAACTCGGATCCCGATCGTAACTCTCATCATCTGCATTACGGAAAACTTGAAGGCTTCGGTGTTTGCTGGTGAAAATGGCTTCTTACCGTTTACTAGGGGGCCTCTGTTAGCTTAAGCTCATGGCGCTGATTCGACAACCGTTCAGTCGGACTGCATGTGGGTCACCACCTTACCATAAGCGGCACTGTCTGCTAGTCCTGGCGTTTGCAACGTGCTACCCAACGTCTTGTGTTATCAAATCAATCATAACGCCATCAGTTCAGTTGTGTTATCCATCTGCTCCGATCGCCCGGGTGTGTTAGAGTCAGCTATCGTAACTCACTTCCAGACAACAAAAAGGATCAACAATTGTCGTGAAAATGAGTTGAAAGTGCAAAGTAAAGTGGTTCAGGAACAAAGGCGATCGATAATATGTGACTAGTTTTACTATCGTTAGAAAACAGTATACGAGATATAGGCCACTCATCGCTGCTTGGTCTCCTTTTGCGGCAATATTTATGTTTTTTTGTTCTAAATTGAACTTTTCTTCTTTTTGTACTTCACTTCATAGTTCTTAACGGTGCTCGAGTTAGACGAACCGAACCTGAATATGCATCTTCGAAAGATCTTGGTAAGTTTACCTAGACTAATTGAATTCATTATCCAGCACTCTATAGTACATGTTAGTATTGCAGCATCCTTTACAAGTTCCGATTTTCTCTAGACTAATCTTGTTGTTATGTCGTTGCTCCATGCTTCGCTTGCCGGGTCTCACAGGAAAGTTCCAATCCTCGTTGATTGTTGATGGAATAGTACAGCGCCATTTACCTGTGCTTGATTCCTTCTTGTTTCGCTGACATAGTGGTGTATACAAACAACCGATGGATCGATTGTCTCTGTTTCCGAATAAAAGCCAGTTTGCTAGCCGGTTACACACGGGTCTTTGTTGCAAGGTTGCGAGAAATCTTCAGCAGGTCTGGTTGCCTAGAAACTCCGGTGGCTTACAACGGAACACGCTTTGCTTCTTCCGAATTCACAGAGTATTTTAAATTCTGCGCTGTCAGACACGGTCACTCTCACCATTAAACCCGCAATTGGACTGACAAACCTGGAGGTGTGTGAATAAATTCGAACCCATTTTCCTCAAATCTAAGAGGAAGGGACGAATAGAGGAGGTAATCAATTGGTTCTTCTTCCTGTACCGATCCACATCGGCCCGTAGCCTATAGGTAACGAGCTTTTCTTGTAATCTGATGGCGCGTGTTTAAGCGTGCGTAGGGCAGGGGCGACCTTCGCAGTATCTTTAGCCCACGTGTGACCGGTGGGGGTTGCACAGCAGCGATGCGTCGGTACTGCGTACCACCGTAGTTCTGATGCCTTCTTTCTTTCTGATGCACAACTAGTCCACAAGCGCCAGACGAAGTTTCACCACCATAGGCCTTGGTAAACGGAAAGCCCTGCATGCCTTTCGATGCCATTCGACTGCTCTCAGAGTCTTGTTAGGAATCGTAAAATGGAATATGGCTTTAACCAACCTCATGAGCGAAGTAGCGCTCGTCAAAGCCGGCGCAGCCAGTACTAGTGTATGACTTTCAGCAAAGCCACGCAAGCTGGATGCAAAACACAACCGAAAACAAGCACGCGAAAATCATTTGTGACGCGCTGGTTGGAACCCAGATCTGGGCCTGCCATGCAACTCAGTTACGATCAACGATGCGCCAGTCATAAGCAACAGAGCTTGCCGATCTGCCGTTTGACTTGTTGGTCGACAGCTTCAGCTAGCCATAGGAGTAGGTAGACAACTGCTTTCAGGCGAGCAGTGAATCCGGCTTCCTGAACAAATCTGCTAAAGCGGTGGACACAGAACACCGTCCAAGAAGCTACAAGTCAACTTCAGACTCTCCTCATACACTGCGACCGTCGTCTCAGGATTGGATATGCCTGGGAGAAAGTAGATATTTCCAGCAGAATCTGGTTTAGTGATTTAATCGATTGACATCGATTATGCCTCTGTTTCGAACAGTTTGACATTTCCCAAGAACCCACGTGACGACACATTTTGAGGCTTGGCTGGATCAGTATAGCACTGCTAATTTCAACGGTTTACCTTCCTGCCTGTAAGCCGAAGGTCATTTGAAGACTTATACGGTTAAATCTAAGCCACTTGTACAGTATTTTTGATGGCGTTCCGGTTAATTCGTCAAGGCCATTTTATTTTGTTTTTCCTTTCGGCTTGGCTAGAAGTCTCGCAGGCGACTTGAGTGTTTTTATCGGAATAGCAAAGAAAGTGGACTAAAGAAAGGATTAATGTAATAACAATCAAGAAATAGACACGTAATCGAGTGCCGATATCAGAAGGCGAATGGGGTCGAATACGGCGGCCTGTATTCGTCATTGCTACAAGAAGAATTGGATGGATGAAACAAACAGCAGCCAGTGTCAGTGGAGCAGCAGCTCACCGAGCAGACGAACGCAAGCGTACATGTACAGATGGTAAAGGCAGTAACTCATCAACTAATAGTGCACAATTGATCAATAATAAAACTGTACGGAACATATCAGCATTATCTTTCAGGGCGCTGCAGTTCCTACCTCTGTGCTGTCCTAATCATCTGTGATTTTATCGCCATCTGTACCACACTCGTCCTACCTGTCGACGCAGTCCCATTTGGAACTCCGAGAATGCACTTGTTCTCGCTTCTGTGTTATGATCCCACTTCTGGCTCCTTTATCTACTCCTCTCGCTAACTCTCCTTGTGTGCTGACGGTGCGTATCCCCTCCTGAGCGGAGTTAGAGCATTTTGTAGATGCACCGTGTTTCCGTTCTCATTTCGTTGCGTCTCGAGTCATATGCTCCATTCCCAATCTCTTACATCTGCATTCCGCTTAAGTGAATGATGCAACCTTGAGCGTGCGCTTTTTTCTGCCCACCGTTAAACGAAGTTTATCTCAGTTCGCATTCGGTAGTCTTATTTTCTTTCCTTGGATTGCAGATGTGGCTGCTTCTGGATCCCTCCATCCGAAATCCTCTCCTCCTGGTGATACTGTTCTAAATGTGTTGGGGCGAAGTCGAAACGAAAGCCATACATCCATCCTAATTCTTTCATTTGGTCTCGGCCTCGTTTGTTGCTTTATTGGCCTACTGATCCTCGAATGGCGGCGCAGAACCCGCACCTCGACTTGGGCTATGCGTCGACGCCCTGCCAAATTACCCGTTTTGTTTAATGAACGCGGAAAACCGGCTGCAGTTCAGATGCGCTCTAATCGACGACCAAAGACGACAGTCCGTGCCATGACCAATCCCACAGGATCGGATGATGAGAACGAAGCGCTTTGTAACGGTCTAGTCTTGTGAATTTGTCCATCCCCGCCCGATCTCATCACCTGACTTCCGTGTTGTACGGCGACATAAGCATTTATCCCTATCTAGCTCGAGCTGTCTGTGATCACCTGTTGTGCTGAATCATTCCCGGCTTATTCCGTACCCCACTCCCCTTTTGTCTCAAAATCTTTTTTCCTTTACCACTTATTACCGTTGCTGATGTTGTCAATTTGTTTTAATTTGCATTATCATTCATCATCGGATTATTTTGTCTATCATGCTCAGCACAAAACGTAATTGTACGTTGTATCTTTCACCTGATAGAAGAAATTCATACAGCTATTACGTCTCATGTGATCAGTTTTGGTTCGCCGCGTCTTTTTGCGCCCTCCAGTTCCAAAAGCCAAGAACACCACTATCCGAATGTCAGTTTGTTTTCCGAGATTGGTAGTAGAACTGCTCTTTTGAATGACCGTCTCTGCTGCACTACAAACAATACATACGATAAGAACGTTTTACGCGCTGCTTCATGAATAGATCGACCGGACTGCCTCCAACAGATGGTTTCACTGCAGCCAGCTCCTATTGTACGTCCGGAAAAGTCGTACTGAGCCATTTTATCTCGGTGGTACTCGCCCATGGAATCTTTCAAGATTTGGAGGATTGTGATTTACTTTCATCAACTCCTGCCACTGAACTTGAGCTGACGGTGACGGCCAGGTTAGTTACTGCTGTACAGTATAGTATAATGCCGGACGGCCTTCTTTTCCAACGTGGACACATTGGTAGTGTACATTTCACTGGAATGTATGACTACTCAGCTTGTGGTCAGTAGCTTGTATCCCCGTGCTTTGGGTGCCACGACGGTCTGCGTTATCTTGATACTATTCATAGTGAATAAATATCTTTGTTACAGGAGGCGGTGTCCCTCCTACCACTACTGCTCGGTCCAGCCTTGTTCCTCAGTGGCATTCAGCGCCGTGGATACCGTGTTTTATACCTTCCAGCCAAAGGAAATTTGTGAGGTTGTCCGCCCTAGGAGTTTGTTTTTAACAAACTTGCGTGTCCCGTACCTTCCTGGTCAATGAATCCGAGGATGAACACCAATTACTTTTGGACACTCCAGGACAAAATGGATGACTGTCTCGATGTGCGATGCTGGTGGTATCATACGATGCTTTCCCAATCTGGACGCGTAATGAACAATGTTCAGTTCACCGGGGACCAGTCGATCTATTTGTATTGTGTCGTCGCAAGCTGGGGCCGAAATTTTACACATCTACGCTGCCCATGTGCCGCTTTCCAGATTCTGCCCTAATGATGGGCGTGGAGAACCAAGATCATCTTCGGTCAAACCTATTATTTGGCACAACTTATGCACTAGACAGCGCGATAATTGGCGAATGAAGTAATCTATATTTAACTTTATTGGTCATGGGGAGCATTGTTTTTATTGATTCTGCGTCTGTTAGAACGGTGTCTTGTGTCTGAATCGGTCAAATACCATTAGTACTCCTTACTGCGGCTCCATCACCATGGGACCGTACGTGCTTCTACGTAGGCCGAAGTATCCCGGGAATGCCCAAATTCCTGCAATTGAAGGTATTTACATTCGGGGTGTTGATGTTGTGGGCAATGGTAAATCACCTCCCGATCGATCAGCATTCATTTTGAAAAATCAACTGGGGTGAGGTATCGGTGGGTTAATCTGCGGCTCCCTGCTGTATTTATAAGCTCGCTTGAACTACAAATCATCGTAATTCGCACAGCTCATATTTACTCAACGGTTCAGAATCTGGGGGTGATAACAGGCGTGGATTCATCGGTGTTTACTACTGCATGAATTTACATGGGTAAATGCTACATCATGAGGCTGGCAAACTTGTGTCCGCTTTCAGTAAATGCCTTTCTGCTTGACCTATTTGTCACGGCAGCTCTCAATGCCATCCATATTTTCTCGATTGACTTTTCATGTTTATCTGACTGCAATTCATGATTTAAAAGCTACCGAGAGTTGGGATGCAATATGCCGGATGATGTTTTCAACATCGAAGTCCAATTTCCTGGCATCCATATGACAAGTTAACCAGCATTTTTCTGGTATCATGGCGAAGCTATCCTCAATTATCCCTTTGTCAGGTTTAAGGTGCTCCAGTTCGCTAAACCTAATCATTTCATTATAACAAAGGCTAAACTATTGGTTATGCTCGTGTGTCACTTGTTAATCTTGAAAGAAACTAGCTTCCTCAACTTCAACTTTGTATCGGACTACTACTTAATTACTGCTTGGCTAGGTTCGGAAACATGCATAATGATAGTACTAATAATAATACGTATATTTCTCTTGATAGGAGAAACTGTGTCTATAGCGGCACATGTCAATTTGTACAGAAGAATCCGTGCTCTTGTATGAATGACATGCATAGGTGGCATATTGGGATATACGTTTCATGTATTAACATTCTAGCGCTTGGTTGAGTCCAAAGCCTAGTTATGAGAACATTGGTGTTTATATGTTTATGGGCCTCACTTGAAATAGCTCATCAAAAGACTTTGATGTGGATATAGAGGTTATGGTAGTTAAATCAAGGTAATTGGTGAGTCTGCTTCTAAATGTTGCCACATTGTCACCTGATCTGAGTGTTATTGGTAATTTATTCTACAGATACCTATAATTGATCAGGAAGAAATTAGAGCGGACGTTCATTCTAGCTTTCGGTATGTTCAGTGTCAAACCTTTGTTGCGAAGCGCCCGAGTTGAGCAATTTTGTAGATTGAGTGTAGGCAGCTCGGAATAGGTCTTTTTGCGTATCACGTTAAAGAGCAGCAACAAGTTGTGCTTCAATCGCCGAATCCAAAGTGCTTCAAGATAAAGTTCATTGCAACGTTCTCGATAACTCATAGCAGCTTTTACCAGTCAGATGTTTAGTAAATGACCTCTACAGGTGCTCCACAGCAATTCTGTCACTCTGATATTGCCATATATTATGCTGCGGTATTCGATGGGGCGAGTGAGTAGCTTGAGAAGTTCGACTGGCACGAGTTGTGTGTATTTTATTTGATGTATTGAACGTAGACTGTCTGGCATGTGCTACTTGCTATTAGGCCTGTTTGGAGAAATTAAAGGTAGACGAGTACCTAATTTCAAGGTCTCGCGTGGACAGCTGTGTAGGGACGCGTTCATTGTTTAGAGTGATAGATCCTTCGGGGATGCAGCAGCCGTAAGACATGATGCTTGATTTCTTAGCCGAGAGGTTCGTCACGCATATGCGCACCATGACTCAAGCGAATGTACATTTTTAATGAGCAGTAGTGAATCTCTTCACACCAAAGCATGTAAACGATTTTGATGTCGTCAGCAAATAAAAATGGCATACCATGTTTTACAGATGTGGTGATGTCATTGATTTAGAGCAAAAAGTGAGGTATCCAGCACGCTCCCTTGAATGACCCCACTAATGGTTGAGCTTGTAGAAGAGCCATAGTCACCTAAAGTGACTACCTGACGACGACCTTTCAAGTATGACGATACCCAATTTAGTAATGGGTCCCGGATCCAAAAGTTCTCCAAATTTTGTGACAGTCGTTTCTGCGGTGCTCGGTCAAGAAACAGAACTATTACTGCAAAGCCGGAATCGAATGCTTCTGAAATGTGTTTAAGGTAATACAATTGACAGGTGGTGCACGATCGCTTGTTATGTGTGATTTGAAAGCCACTGAAGATGTTCGGCGATCCTTCACAAGATGCATCTGGCAATTTAACTGTACTGTAATCTTGGACCAGACACAGTGAACTAAACATTTAGCCGTTGTTGTGTGTCGCGCGTAATTAGTAGAGGACAGGCATCTTATAATCGGATAAACTCCCCTGTTCTAACTGCAATCTGCGGTGTTTGATGAGAATTAAAATCCTAATTGGATCACTTTTGGAGAACTGTTACAAAACCGGCTGGTACCTATGAGTTGCGAAACTAGAAGTCGCACGCTTATTAATTACGCGCTCACTGTGATTGCTCAGACTACATTTGAAGCTGTGCTTTCTCCACGAACTAGTGCGACGAAAAGAATAAAAGGAGGATTACACATAGAAACTTCTAATGGAAGTCAAAGATGATTTACGAGACACTGTACGTGTAGTCATATTCATGACTAAGGAAGATTTATTACAACGTTAGGTAGGACTTCGTATGGAAAGCTGCTGAAAAGATAAGAGATAGGTGGTATTTGTGTATGTTTAAGAAAACGACTAACGCTCCAACTGGCGTTAAATGTCTGTAGAAGGAGCCACCTATTATGTGGGTGCCTAAAATAATCACTACGTGGAAGACGAGAAAACCATGCAAACGAAAGAGAAAGGGCACTGGTACCTGCGCTATGCAGTCAATCAGATAGAGCAACGCAAGTCTTTCAGAAGGAGCTGAGAGCAGGTCACGAGCGGTCATGGGTCAAGGAAAATACTTGTTAGTCGAAATGCCAATAAACCAGTTCCATACACTTATGTTTGTGCCTCCAGGTGTAACCGAAGTTGAGTACTGCAACCGCGATCAAACAAATCAAAATCTAGTCTTCTCAGTATGAGACTTACGGAAGCAAACATGCGAATTCACCCACGCACGGCAGATTCACAGAATTGATGCTCATCAGTAATCGGATGCATCAGCTTTCGGATTTTCCTGTCACTGAGGCCAGTCACAGGACACCTATGCCTGCAAGGGACCATGGGTGGCTTGCACTGCACCACCCACAGCTCCATTCACACACCTTGTTTGAAGTGTACACCCGAAGGAATAAGACCGGGAGGCATGTGGATGGGAGCCATGTTTCATCAACGGAGCCGGCATACACTTGTTCACGGACAAACACAAGCACGCTGTAGTTGGGAAGCAATCGCACTCAAGGCGGTGGCTGGACCGTAGTCCGCTCCACACTGAGTGCATGGAACCGCTCTTCGAGCCTAGCACGGTCACAGTGACCGTGCACCCCGTCCCCTCCAGCAACGACCAACTGTCTCCTGGAGCCAGTATGGACGAGGTAGTGGGTAATAGACAGGTAGGCACCTTGTCAACATGCACATCAAGCGCAGCCCCACCGGGGATGTCAAATAACAGTCAATCACTTGAAACGACTATATCAAATAAAATAAATCGAATACTGCATACAGACAAAACTCTTCACTAAATGAGCATATGAAATAAATTAGTTGCAAAAAATCCGCTATAGTTTCAAGGCGTCAGAGAATATGTTTTAAGGAAATGTCACAATCGCGAAAATGTTATCAAGGTAATTACAATTAACTTGAGCGACGTGTGCAAGTTAATGCAATATAGTTCACCTGAAATAGAGATCCAACATGCAAGTAAGCGGTTAGTAAATCGAATGCAGCGCACCTACAAACGCTGCGCCGGTTCTGCCTACGTTCTCTGCAGGAATCGTCGACGCTTCGGTGGTGCTCCCGATTGGCCTCGCTCATGGTTCACTAGGCCTGCTTGACTCAGGCACTCGCGACCGCATGTGATATGGCACCATGCTCTCGATGTCGATAAAATACAACCCATCGGCGCTCCCGCACTTGCCGCTTTTTCTCTGCATGCATGAGGTGTTTCTCCTGCACCTTGGTAACTACCTTCATGATCACATTGCACAACGCACGCCGATCAACCGCCTTCGATTTTTATGACCGGCAATCAAGGTTAGAACATGAGAGGCTCACTTTGATCATGTCCTGATAACGAAGCTTCGGTTTCCCTACATGCCGCTTCCCAATACTCAGCTGAACATCTAACTTTTGTTTCGGTATCCGCGTCGAATCTACACGCCACACATGATCAAGCCACCTCAAGTGTCTCAGCAAAAGTTTGCAGCCCACTGCATACATCCAACTTCGGCGCAACACTTCCGTGTCTGCAAATCTATCACACCAACCGATGCGCAGAGTTCGTCGCAAACACTGTTGATGGAACTGCTCGAGATAGCGCACATCCCGCTAGTACATCGTCCACGCTTCACTGTCGTATAGAAGAACGGACAGCATCATGGATGTGTAACCATCAGCTTTGTGCCAAGGATAAGTTGATGGTTGTACCACACT